CTGCGTTCGAAATGGCTTCTTCTTCTCGCATGTTGGCAGCTGACCTTTCACTCTTCCACAAGTCGCACTTAGAGCATCTTCTAATGCTTGCGCCGATGTGCTCTTCACAAACCGACCGACCACATCCGACGCAATTGTCCGCCCTCGGGCGAAAGCAAGCTGCGCAAAAATGAGACACTGTTTTATTTATTGTTTCTTCTTCATCCAGCTCCTCGGGAGGAGGATGCGCCACCTTGCTTACCAGCAGGGTTGACGCTCCCACCTTTGCTAAGTTCGTCGGATCAAATGTGTTGGAACGGTCACAGTGCCGGACGACTGAGGCGCTGGCAATTGATGTACGTTCGTTCCAGTCGGCTTAGCCGGCGGGCATTTAGCATTGCTCAAATGCAAACGTTGGAGGGAGGATCTGGCTTCTTCATGCGATCTGAGTTCTTCCAGATAAAGGTTGTTCTGGTCGGTTATATTCGCAGCTACGGCTTGGGTGTTAACTGCTTCCAGCCTGGCGTCTTTAGGCTCTTCCTGTAAGCTCTGCTTTTCTCGTTCCGCCCTGACTGCGGCGATTTGTTCTCCTTCTACTCTGGCCGCCGCAACAGCAGCGGCGACTGCATTGGCGCCAATGGATTTACTGGTTGCCATCGCGACGGCCTGTCTCTCAGAAGCCAGTAATTCTATGCATTTATTTTCGGCTTCCACCTCCGCCTGCCGCTTCACGGCCGCGGTCTGATTATACAATTGTTCTATCAGCTCTTGTTCTCGCTCTCTAGCAGCCATGGCTAGGGCGATTCGTTCAGCCTCGAATGTTTTCCGAACTTCAGCCATGGTTTCAGTCATCTCTTCTCTGTCCAGTCGGGCCCTTTCAGCCAGCTGCGCTTCATTGGTCAGAAACTCTCTCTGAGTGTTAGCCTCCGCCAGCCTGGCCTGGCCCCGGATAGATTGCATGAGGAGATACGTGCAATTATGCTCGTCCATTGGGTAACACTCTGCACACCGCCGCTGTACGTTACACTTGTGGCATACGCCCAAGCAGCTCTTGCATGCTGGATTCCTACATGCGCCTTCTGGCCTGTTGGCTTTTTCCTGGGCATCCGCTCTCCGCCTGAGGCGCGCAATTAGGGTTAGGGTTCCAACGAGCCTCCGCCATGGAGATGGTACTGTTGCTCCTTGAAGTAGGTCTCGCCCCTGATCTTGGTATCTTGGGTCTTCTCCTGCTTGAAGCATTTGGTCTGGGGCGAATGAAAGCATTTTCTGGTGGTTTAGGTACATCTAAAAGCTCCTCATCCTTTTCGCCTTGTGTTATTAACACAGTATGCGAAGCTGGTTGACCAACCATTTCTTCCTCCTCAACAACAGCTGAAATCGAGGGTTGCCAGTCACCTGAGGTGGCGGCAGCACGGAAGAAACCCTCTTTCAGTGGTGAGACATTTAGTTCGTAGTCCTCGTTCCTTTGCTTCTTGAGGCGAGGTGCAGGGGTTCGTCCTGTGGATTCCCTCTCATGCTTCGTCTGGGCCTCCGTCCTGTCCGCCTGAGGCGTCAGGATACTAGTATCTTCATCATGTCCATCTGGAGACCACCTCTCGTCTTGAGCGGGGATGTCTTCTTCCATCATCACGGACAGTGCTCGGCTCAGGGAAATTTCGTTATTGACATTACCAAAATCTTCCTCCATGGAATTTATTTCATGTTCTGTATCAATGGGATCATCACTGTCCTGACCAAATTGTCCGTTTAATGCTATTGGGATGGGAACGTTCGTACTCGTACCTGCCCATTCACTTGGGATGCTGGGGTACGCACCTACGTTCTCTTGGGCTTCCCCTGGCCGGCTTGTCTCACCAGCAGCTGCAGCGATAGCATGTGTAGCGTTCGGAATTGGGCTGATTGACTCCGTCGATTTGGCGCTCCACGACGAAAACGCACTTCGTCTAGTTCTTGCTGTCACGCCATCTCGCCCGTACGGGTCTGGGGTCTGTTCTCGATTACCAGTCGGAACTCCAGCGGGAAAGACGTCTACCGACATCTCTGATACTCCCTCGGCACTTCTGCCCCTAGTTACCCGAATGGCGATATAGGAAGGAGGGACGCGATCCTGAATTGGACCGCCCTTATTTGTGTCGCGTCCATCATGTTGTACAACGCGCCCGTCGGCGCTTCTCGAGACGTTGGACACGACGTCAGTCTTATCCTAGCTCATTCCCGCAGCGACTGAGTCGCGGGGCACATTCGAAAGTTCTTCTTTTGGTTGGGATGGCCCCGCGTCGACTAAGTCGCGCGTTTCTGCTGATAACCAGTCTTTCCTCTGAGAATCGGGGTAAGATGACAAAGGAATTAAGATCTCATGTTCACTCTGCTCAGGGAGAGAGGGGACGGGATGAGACATCGATAAGACAAGTATCCGCTAAGCAAGATTGTTCTATCAGGAATGTGAAGGGAGGAGGCCGGCTGGCCTACGACCGACGACGCGCGACGGCCGAGGGCTGGCGCGCTCCTTTTCTCTCCTGCAAGCCAAGACTGGCTTGTTTGAGCATCCACACAGCTGCGGAACGCAGCTGTTAGTCCCACCGGACAGTGCAACGCATGCAAACTAAGTTAAGTTATAATGGGAAATGAGGCGGAGAGGAGCATATTTACTGAAAGACACACTAGTACCCCGCGTCCTCATTGGAGGCGTGAGTCCGACAAGAGCATATAATATAGACATACCTATACGACCACCCTTCGAGTGATAAGGAGGTTCGGGGGGGGAGGAACCAACGTCTCACTCGATCGGTCTCACTATCGATCTCACTATCGATATCAGTATCGGTCTCGCTCGATCGATCTCCCTCGATCGATCTCACAATCGATCTCACTCGATCTATCTCACAATTGATCCGACTATCGATCTCGCAATCGATCTCACAATCGATATCACAATCGGTTTCACTATCGATCTCACTATCGATATCACCATCTTTATCACAATCAACGTCATCATCATCAACAACAACATCAACATCAACATCATCATCACCAACATTATCATAATCGGGACACCGTCCTCATCATCAACACCAACATCATCATCACGGTCATGAACATCATCGGGACACCACCATCATCATCATCATCACCATCATCACAATCATCATCATCATCAACATTATCATCAGCAGCATCGGGAAACAGTCATCGTCATCATCATCATCAGCATCATTATCATCGGGACACCATCATGATCACCATCGTTGTCATCATCATCACCATCATCGGGACACCATCATCATCATCAGATCATCCTCATCATCGACATCATCACCATCAGCATCATCAACATCATCATCAGCATCAGCATCATCGTCATCATCGGGGCACCATCATCATCATTACCAACATCAGCATCAACATCATCATCATCATCATCACCATCGGGACGCCATCATCATCAACATCATCATCATCACGGTCAGAATAATCATCATCATTGGGACGCCATAATCATCATCAACCTCATCATCATCATCATCATCAGCATCATCATCGGGACACAATCATAACCAGCATCATCAACATCAACATCATCATACTCATCATCATCGGGACACCATAATCATCATGATCATCATCATCCTCATCATCGGGACACCATCAGCATCATCATCATCATATCATCATCATCACCGTCCTCATCATCATCACCATCATCAACATCACCATCATCATCATCATCGTCATCATCATCATCAGCAGCATCAGCATCATCATCATCATCAGCATCATCATCATCATCATCATCATCATCATCATCATCATCATCATCATCATCATCATCATCATCATCATCATCATCATCATCATCATCATCATCATCATCATCATCATCATCGCGGGACACCGCGGGACACCGGCGGGACACCGCGGGGCACCGCGGGACACCGCGGGACACCGCGGGACACCGGCGGGACACCGGCGGGACACCGCGCGCCACCGGCCGCCCGGAAGAGACACATTTGGTCCGGCCGCGCCTCAGCCACAGGGACACCGACGGGACACCAGCGGGACACCAGCGGGACACCGCGCGCCACCGGCCGCCCGGCGGAGAATCATGTGGTCCGGCCGCGCATCAGCCACAGGAGACTTTCCTCTCGCCCGCCCACGCAGCTTCGCCTCGCCCGCACGGCACGCACGAACACGAAACCGAAATCGATTTCCCGGTAGGGGGGCTCTCCGTTCCACTTCGATCTCACCCCCTCACCTCCGATTGTAGTGCGTCGTTTCCTGAGCGGCATGGCCAGAAAACACCCGCCACGGAGCTTATACTATGAGGTTACTCGGCGCGCGAGCTTCGCCCCTGGGGTGCATACGCACACACAGCATCAGTATGTTTAGCGATGCCGATGGTACAGGGTGGCTCAGCGAATCTGCTGAGTGTCGCTGGAGTCCGCGACGCCTCCTGGCGACATGGGGCGGCCGTGAGTCGAGGTTCACGTGCCTGGTCGAGGGACTGAAACTAACTACGAGCAGCAGGTTTCGTACCCGCCCTGGAAAGTCGTCGGTGATGGGTGGTCGTCGTCATCTGGCCTCGTGGCCTGGGCGGAGGCCCCCAGTCACCAAGATTGGGGCGCGGTTCGGGCCTGTGGAGGCCCTGTAGTGGCGGGCATTTCCCCTCATTATGACCAGCCGCACGTCGAGCATCGAAGAGGATCGAGGATCGAGGATGACCAGCCAACAGTCAAGGATCGAGGAAGATCACATGTCGATCGGTGATCACACGTCGGTGACTAGTTTCAGTAAAGGAGCGAGACTGATCACGTGTCAACCAAGGGTCGAGGATGATCGCATATTGGTAAAGAGGTACATGTCGAGGATCGAAGATCGAAACTTTCTGGCTCTTTCGGCTCTTCCTAAGCCTCCAAATGCGTCCAGATGCCTCCAAGAACCTCCAAGGACCTTCGGAGACCTCCGGGGATTTGCTGAGACTTCCAGTTCAAAGGAATCATGGACGCCTCTGGAGGCCTCCGGGGGCTCGAATCAGTGATGTGACAGGTCAGGTATTACGGATACGTTCCCTCTCGCGGTGGCCAGCCACATGTCGAGCACTGTGTTCACAAGCACTGCAAAGGTGTAGAGGCTGGTGTAGTAGGTGTCGCGGAAGTTGCGGCAGGTGTACTTCACATGCTCCGAGAGGATTCCTGCCGCCGCGTAAACGACCTGGTTCCCCACAGTGATCAGCAAACCAACAACCATGCCAATCTCGGCGCTGCCTTGACTCGCCCCAGCAATGCTCGACCACGACAAGATGTAGAGCGTGTAGGGGCCCCAGAAGCACGCAGTCCACATGGCGATGATCATCAGCATCCAGCCGATTCCTTTCACCTTAAGCCACCTTCTCTCTGCGTCGGTCGTTCCGAACCCATCCCAGAGCACAACCTCGGCGTTACCCTCCGCCATCTCGGCCGAAATCTCGTACACACCTCTAAACTTAGGCAGCTGCAAGCAGAGGCTCGCCTTCATGTCGGCCTTGGTGCGGAAGACGACGAAGCAGGTCCCCGTAGTCGGGATCCTCTCGATGAGCTGCAGCGCCTCTGAACGATTGTCAGGTGCTCGAGGTGTACTTAGCCCACCCGATCGGAGGAAGCACGGAGGGACTTCGCCCCACACTACGCTATCGACGGTGTCTACCAGCGGGGCGCACAAGCACCGCGTCCGGGGCTGAAAGGACGAAGTCCGGTGCGTGAGGGGCGGGGTGCTGATGTACGAGGCCTGGCGGTCCAACGCGCAGTTTGCATCCGAGCCCGCGCGGACTTCGCGCTCGACCTCGTAGACGATGTCGTGCACGGCCACCTTGATGTTCTCCTCCAGGCCGCTCATGTTCCAGGCGACGGACACCCCGATGACGCTCTCGCCCCACGCGGCCTGGAAGAAGCGCGTGCACTCCTCCTCGAGCCTGGTGCCAGGGCCTTCGTGCTGTCTGCCCGACTCCTGTGGGAAGCCCCGGCACATCAGCGCGTAGTCCTGATGCGGGAACAACGAGAAAAGACGGTACCGCTACTCCACGGATTTCTCCCAAGGTGGGCTCTGACCAAGACTCCGCGGCGAGTCCAGTCGTAGCGACGAGGGCATTCCACCAAAAGGCGGCGGCATTGGCAATCGTACGTTTCCTTCCCGGGCCTGCATGCTGGCTGTGGTCCTGTGGAAGCGCAGGAACTTCATCTGCTGCCACCACGACCAGAAGACTGCACCCAACGAGGTGCACACGTACACCAGGCCGGTCAACCACAGGACGCCGATGCGCATCGCCTCGAACTCGGCGCCGCGGTGTACGTCGAGGCGATCCGTGCAAATGCCCTCCACCTCGTCGTGGTATGGAGGCAACATCAGCGCGTCTTGGGCAACAAGCCGGCCGTGGTAAGCCGTCACCGCCGCGCTCGCCACAGTCACCGCGATGGACCACCAGAGCGTCATCCGCTGCCAGCTGAAGTGGAGCGCGGCTCCTATCCCTCCCGCAGACGTGACCTCGTCGGCGAGGCTGAGGTTCAGGGCGTAGAGCTCGTGGTTCCCGTCGTCCCTCCTGGCCTTCGATCTGGAGCGCTGCTCCAGGCCCCATCTCAGGATCTCCTGGCTTACAACTGGCCGCCAAGCAACGAGCACAACGTATGCCATGACTGAAACGACAACGACCCCGAGGACAGCCAGCAGCACGATCCACTTCCACTGGCCTTCGTTGATGCACTCCCCATTCTCGAGCCTGAAGCCCGCGTGGCACTCGTGGCAGGACTGCTCGTCTGAGGCACAACGCTGGCAGCCTGCCACAGCGCAGACAAAGCAGTACCCGGCAACGCGATCGATGACTCCTGGGTAGGCGCGGCACGTCTCTTCTGGGATGCAGCGCCAGTGACAGAGCAGGTCGGGGTCGAACCTCATGAGTGGGCACCGAGCTGGGCACAAGACGTGGGCCTTCTCAGTCGCCGAGAAGGGGGCGTTGCACTCGCGCACAGTCGTGTAATTCGAGTCGTCGTCGTCGTGGCGTGCCCCGTCCTTAGAGCCGACATTGACTGGCCCTCTCGCGCGACCCTTGGCCTTTATCCTGGTCTTTAGCTTCGGCTTTGCGCTCCTCGCGGCTGCGCGAAAGGCCCCGGCAGCAGCAGCGGCACTGCTGTTCACGCTGGCAGCGAGAAGCGATATCGAGCCGTGCGCTGTCGTCTTTACTCTTGCTGGACTTGTTGGCAGGACCAGCACGGCTGAGATTAGCCATGCCAGCCGCATCCTCCCAGCGATGGGGGCCATTCCTGCCCCGCACGCATAACTACATTGGTGTTAGGTATGGCATGCGGCCGGGTGTTGCTAGAAGTGGTCCTGGCCCAGGGTGTCCCCGGCTGTTCGCGCCATTTCGGAAGCCCTGGGGCTCTCTGGGCCTCGTGGGGATGCTCTGGAGGCCATCCGTGGGAATCCTGGGGGCACCCTGTGATAGGGACATCTCTGGGAACACCCGACGAAGGGAGGCGCCGCTGCCAGGCACTTGAGCCCAGCTTGACCAGCAAAGAGGCATGCCAGCGGCAGCCGGACCGGCGACACAAGGCCCCCCCCGAGCGGAAAAGCTCGGACACACTGCGCAGATCCGCAGGGACTCGTGCCGGACCACTGTGCAAAGATCCGAGCGGCGGGGAGGTCTGGGCGCTCCGCTGGCCCGTGCGCCGAGCCACCCTGGCGAGGACTGGAAGCCCAGACGAGGTCGAGAGAGTTGCGTATCCGCAGGCGACGGATCAACGACCTCCGTTTCCTCATGGCGAAAGAGCGTGGCAGAGTTGGGAGAAAGGCCGAGCTGGGGCAGAGGAGCGGGGAAGAACGGGACGGAGCAGGAGGAGGATGGGCGGGGAAGAGCGGGAGGCGTGCGAAACAATCCGGAATGGTAGGACACAGACAGGAGCGAGGAATAATCCCGTGAAAGGGGACTCGCCACTACTATATATATATATATATATATATATACACACATACACACAGACACTCTCCGACGAACAAACTTTGCATGTACCTTCAGGGGGGGCGGCGGTGTATAAAGTCGCTGGCTCCCAGCGGTGACCTATACACCGCCACCCTCCCTGAGGCCCAGGAACAATCCGTTGGAGGGTGTCTGTGCCTATTTTTTGCGGCGGAGGGGGGGGGTATGAGCAGCGGGGTCCAGTGGAGTGAGTGCAGACGCCCAATGGGGAACGAGCGAATATGTTCCTACGTGAGGAACCCATCTGGAAAGCAAAAGGGGGAGGAGCGGGGAGGAAGGAAAGCAGGAGGAGGGGAGGGCGAAGGGGCGAGAGGAGGCCCGGTCCGGAAGCCAACGCGGAAGTACAAGGGAGGAGGGGCAGGCTCTGGGTGGGGGGAAAATGCCCTCATCCCACGTCTCTCCTCTCAGTGTCCAGCCCGCTCATCTGGGGAAACAGAAAAATACTGATACTGCTACTCCGCGGGCCTGTCTTGGAGAGCGTTCTGACCTGAACTCGGAGAGAACCCAGCCGTGGCGACAACAGTTTTCCAGGATGGCCCATGGTATCGGTGCCAGGTCGGGGTGGCTGGGGGTCGAACCAAAAGGAAGTTTTCCACAGAGCGGTCGGGCCGGGGCTGGTCGGGGACGGGGCCAGAGGCAAGCAAGCAAGCTGGCGGCACCGTCTCCGTCCGCGCGAAGCGTGGCTGGGAGCCAGTGCACCCCCCCCACCCCCAGGAGCAATCGCTGCTAGGACCAGACCCGAACGGCGGTCGTTCCCGGGGGGAGGGAGGGGATGCGCCAGCCAGGGCCTTCAGCAGCGCTGCCCAGGAGCACCACGGCGAGCGCGAGAGGGGGGTAGTGGCTAGCACTGGCTAGCCGCGGGGCGGCGGCGGTTGGGCGAGCACCAGCCCTCTGATGGTGCCGAGCCACGGGGTCTGGCGGTGGCGGAGTGCCCGCACTGGGGTGGGGCGCGCGCGCCGCTGGCCCCGCCAGGCCTGCTTTGGAAGCGCTGCGTGCCCTGCCGCCTGGGCTGCCCCCGAAGGCTGCCTTAGCGAAGCACCAGAACAGCCCCCGACCAAAACCTCCGACGTACAGCAGAGGCTCGACCACAAGAGACCTTCCGCAAGAAGCCCAACCCTGAGACCCTAGGACGTCCACTGATCTTTGGTGCGGGAGCGTCATGCTTTCCATACTCCCACTGGACCGAGGCTGGCCAGGCGAGATTGGTGGAGAGACGCAGTGCGAGCACCAGGACCGGGAGGACGGCTCGCGGCAGGGCCAGGGGCACTGGCGGTGACGGAGCGCCTCTTCTTCCCGAGACAGTTGCGGGCCCCTCTCGGCACAAGCATCTGCCTAGGGAGGCGATCTGGACTGAAGTCGACACCTCCAGTTTGGAGGTTCGAGGCTCTCTGGAACGTCTCTCCCCTCGCCCTCCCCCGTCGTCTCCCCTCCACCCCAAACCACCCTCCTCATCCTCCGCATCTTCCTCTCTCCCTCCCTCCCTCCATCCTCTCCCCCTCCTGTTTTCTCTGCTTCTCGCTCAAGTCCCCTCCCTCTCCTCTGGAGGTAGAGGCGGAGGGAGAGGAGAAGTAATAGGAAGAGGAGGAGGGGGATAAGCAGCAGGAAGAGGAGGAGGAGGAGAAGCAGGAGGAGAAGCAGGAGGAGGGAGAGGAGGGAGAGGAGGAGGAGGAGGAGGAGGAGGAGGAGAAGGAGGAGGAGAAGGAACAGGAGGAGGAGGAGGAAGAGGAGGAGGATGAGGAAGAGGCGGAGGGAGAGGAGGAGGAGGAGGAGGAGGAGGAGGAGGAGGACCAGTGTAAACCTAAGAGTCATCAACGATGTTGGAATTAACCCTCCCTCCAAGCTCCCTCTTCAGAGGCCCCTACAACGGTTCTTTTCCATTGAGGGAACTGCCTCGTTGGAAAACAACCGTTTGAAGATGCTGAAGCATGCCGAAACATTGTTCTCGGGATTTCAACGCCACGTATCAACCTGCCTGCTGCGTTTTGACGATCCGGAATCGTGCCATAACGCCATTTTTGGGATTTCAATACCGCGAATCAACATAACTGTTGCGCCCGCATAGTACTGGATCCTTCCAAAGCATCATGTCTGGTACGCTGATCCTGGAAGCCCGTGAAACTCTTGTTAGTTCTGGAAAAACGAATGTGCGCGACGCGAAAACGAAAACCACATTTTGTAATCCTCCCGTCCTCAATCCGTGAAGCTCTTGCAAATGTTTAAAACAAATGCACGCGGCGCTAAGGCGAGAGCCACATTCAACAAACGGCCCGCCCTCAATCCGTAAAGATTTTGCATTTATATTAAAACACGAATGTGCGCGGCGCTAAAGCGAGAACCACATGTTGAAAACGACTCGCCCGCAATCCGTGAAACTCTTGCAATGGTTTTTATTTGAAAAAACGAATGTGCGCCGCGCTAGGGCAAGAGCCACATTTTGAAAACCACCCGCCCTCAATCCGTGAATACCTTGCAATGTTTTATAAGAATGTGCGCGGCGCTAAGACAATAACTACATTTTGAAAACCACCCGCCCTCAATCCGTGAAACGCTTGCAAATTTTGACAACGAATGTGCGCGGCGCTAAGGCGAGAGCCACATTTTGAAAACCACCCGCCCTCCATCTGTGAAGCTGTTGTCACTTTTCAGTTCAAGAAACATCAACGGTGAGGAAGTCTCAGGCGAAACGCCCCGCCCGCCCTAAAAACTGGCCTCGGGGTGCGACAGGGAGAAGTTATCTATAAGGAGAAGGAATGAAGGCGGGAGGGAAGGAGAGAGTAAAGTTGAATGTGAGGATGGAGAATGGGAGAATCCACAGCCAGGAGCGCCCCAAAGGGTGCAGCATCTCCAGACTCGATGTATTAACATTTAGTTGTGATGCTCGCGTCCCCTATTTGGGCGTCTCGGGGGTGCTTCTACGAAGCGTTCCCCCTCACCCTACCCCCTCGTGCGCGCCGCCAATTCCGGGGCCCTGGCTTCGAACTCCCCTCGCTCTTCCTGTGGAGACAAAAAGGTACCGATGCCGCTACCCCCCGGACCTCTCCCGGGGTGCGTTCTGACAAGAATTTCGGGGGCGAGTCCAACGGTGGCGACGAGGGCCTCCCAAGAGGCCTGAAAATTTGAAAAACGGGCTAAGGGTTATGTTGCTCCCATCGTACTTAAGGACCACATCCCAGAAATAATTTCGAGCACCCGGAAAAGTGTCGAAAGAGTGTCGAAATAGTGTCGAAACAGTGTCGGACGAGTTTCTCCCAGGGCCCGCCACGTGAAAACCCTAGAGTTTTTGGATGCTTTTCTGGCGCTCGAAATTCTTTCTGGTGATCAAGGCTAAAGTAGGTTGGAACATCATGGGCGAAAGGTAGCGGTATGGGTACCTTTTCCGCCTCTGACGTCCTGCCTCCTCCGGGGCCCTGCGCACGCACGCGCCCCACGGCGATCCGTCTCGGATGTCGGCCGCCTCCCGCAGCGTCTCGCCCAGCGCCCTCGCGTTCCTGGCCTCGCTGCCGGGTGGCTACCAGAGGCGGAGGCGGAGGAAGAGGATCGACCAGGGCAACTACAGCAGGAGCTCGACCGCAAGAAACGTTCCACAAGAAACCCAACTCGGAGACCCCAGGACATCCATTGCTTTCTGATGTGGGGGCGTCACGCTTGCCATGACGAAACCAGCGAATCCCGGGAAACCCAGGGCACCCTGGAGGCAAGCAGGGTGTTCCTTGGCATGGGCTTCCACTGTAGGGCAACTATCTTCGCGCTTCGCGCTACGCGAAGCGCAACTGTCTCCGCTCTTTCGCGCCGCCCCCCCCACCCCACCCCTGGGACAGGATGAGGGACTCGCGCCTCGCATCGACATCACCCAGACCGCGAAGCGCGACGAACTTCGCACCCTCGTGGTGGCCCTAGACCAAGGTTTTCCGATCCGCATGCTTTTGCCAAGCCTTGGCCTCCAGAAACCTCCAGAGGCATCCCGAATCCTCTGGGAAGGGAGGAAGTCAGGAGCAGAAACCTCCAGAGACCTCCCCCAAGAGGCCTCCGAACTTGGAGGCACCCGGAAGCATCTTGGGAGGGAGGGAGGGAGGGAGGACCAGAGTAACCACCATACGGGGTATTACTGTAAATGGTGTGGGCATTACTGCATATGCTGACTCAACGTGGTTGGGATGACAGTATCTTACCTTGAAGTTGGTTGGCAACGTCTACCTATGAATGGAACAGTTTGTTTTGGGTATCGCTGTATATGCCGACTCAATGTGGTTGGAATGACAGTATTGTACCTCTTATTGGGTGGCAGTGTCTACCTGTTTTGAGTGCATCACTGCGGACGTGTCCAAGGTGAAGTATCAGAGCCTGTGTGTGAGAGTAACCACCATACGGCAAATTCATGTCGTGAAGTCGGTTCCTGACACCGAGTGCACGTCTCAACCTCAAAAGATCGGCGCTTGCCGACGGCGCAGATCGTTCATCATCGGCCGATTCGCGAACACTGGCGGCGTTCAACCTTGAAGGCCCGCGCTTTCCGCCGATCTGTTTTTT